GTTCGAAAAATATCATGGAGCCTTCAAAAGGAAAATTATTTAACCACAAACCCTGGTGGTTTAACTCCTTCTCCAAGATCTACAGCAGTCTCTTCACGTTTCATTTGGTCCTCATCAGAGTCATCGCATATCCACATTGCTAAGGATTTCTTTTGAAATTCCGCAGCAACCTTTAAAATAATAATAAGTTACCTGTACCGGAACAATCACCTAAACTCCAGACAAAACCTACAAGTGCGTAGAACTCCAATGTAGGACCAAGTCCTGTGCCTTCTTCTTCTTGGTATTCTATTTCTAAAACTGCTTTCCGATCAGCATGGAACTTCATCACTCGAGCGGCATATTCTAGCAACTGATCATCACTGCGAGGTACCTAGAAGAAAACAACTACCTCTTTTCAAAAATATAGCTTTAACAACAAACCTTAATTCGTTCGTGCTTAATACGTCCAATACGATATTCCGGATAATGATCGTCTCTGCGAACACTTGCTAAATTCGAAACGGCTGCAGCGCTTGATGCCCCTCGTGTTTGTTTTAAAACCTGGAAGCAATTGTTGTTTTAAAATAAAAGGGAAATAAAAATCACAGCACCAAATTATTTCTTCAGGTGACTCGACAAAATCAAAGCTTTCCTAATAGCTACAGGAAAACAAATAAAAACAATTCCTGGCGCAACTACTTCGCATACCTGATCTCGCCGTGCTTGCAGCCACACTATAGCTCGAGCAGTTCCAAAAGCAGTGGCTTGAAGGAAGTATGTCCTAAAAAACATTAAACAAATGAAGGCTTCATGTCACCGTGGAAAACTGAAAAACTGTAAAGTTACGAACAGACCTTGTTTCAACGCTGAAGAGACAGGGGTGCTGATATATTAGAAGATCGCACCAAGAAGGCAAAGCACCTGCAGCAACAACCAGTGGATCGGCCAATTCTTGCATCAGCTTCTGAGTCAATTTTTCACTGATAAAGGTTTCAGAAGACATTTCACGGTCTTCCAGCATTCCGCCAAGTTTGTGGAGGACAGATAGCAAAGCCAATGTCTATAAGTGAACAAAACATTGTTGATTTTTTCAAATTTCAAATCTCAAAAGTCACCATAACTTCTAAAGTTCTCTTTCGCAATAAACCATTCAGTTATTTCTTTTATTTGTCGCATAAGGTTTTAACCTCGTTAACAATCGCTGGAGCAATCTGGCTTGACTTCCTCAGTGAAAGATTTTCGTCATTAACGTCGCAATCATCAAAAATTTCTTCATATACTAAAGTGTAAGTCGGTTCCCAGATTCGGCGAGTCCTTTCAGATTTCTAATTATCGTTAGAAATTAGTATCAATTTAAAGGAAAATCGCAAGAAACATCTGCAGTAGAAAAAAATAAATGTGAAAAGTTACCTGTCCCCAATCAACGTTTTGGACTAACTGCTGAAGGAAAAAGAAGAAGGAGGCTTTGTCATCATTCAATTCAACAGTTACATTAGCAATATTAGCAAGGTTTGGTCCTCGGACATATAACCGCAATTTCGGTTCCTGTAACCACATTGGAATATAACGTTACAACAGGGACATCTATTGCGCTTTTCAAGTGTCTGTAACATAGAAGCTTTTTAAAGTCAGAAGAAAAAACGTACAACAAAGTCCTTTGATGCGTCCACAGATCTTATTATGTCCATCTTTCCACGTCCTTTCCCGCTCTGCTCTGGAGCATTCTCATCACTTACGTTAACAGGTAGTTCAATTTCTTGTGTCTGTAAAAAAAGCGGCAACAACTGCTGAGAAATCGTTCAAAAATAAGCATACACTAAAGTAAAAAAGTTAAAAGTTTTGAAATCGCATAAAGCCACAAAGAAGTTGACTTGATGAAATTACCTGATTAACATTCGGTCTGCCAGGTCGAGGGTCAAAAGCGGGGATAAGCACAGGAAACTGCTGCTTAAGAACAAACTCATCATCCCAAGTGCGATTTAACCCACTTACATTTCTTTGCTGGCGCTCACTATTACTTGCGCGTAAGCGCTGTTCGCTTAATAAGCGGTCAGCTTCACCCATAACAATCTAAACGGCTAGTGAATTTACATAACGTTATCAAAGAAGAAAATTTATCTACAAGAAAAGAACGAACAAGCAAACGAAAACTAGCACTAAAATGCCAAATAATAACCTGCTTGAAGTTTAACTTCAGGTCCGAATTAGATTCAGTGCTTCCCGAACTAGATTGCCGCCTCAAGGCTGCTGCTGCATGTGCTAACGCTTCAACTGACAAACCGCGGGAGTAATCTTCGTCACAGTCGTCTTCGTTGCCATCATCTTGCATGTCGTCATCATATATGCCATCCTTTAATGCCTATTTCCAGTTCGAAAAGTTTACTTTGAAAATATATCATGACAAAATCTTGGAAGGAGCCACTTATGATACTTAAAAACTACCTAAAACATAGCATCCTACTTTATAATCAACAGCAGTACCTCAATCTCTTCCAAATCTAACGCACTTAATGCGCCACCGCCACTATCTAATATTTGCTGCATCATAGAACGGAAAACATCCGTATAACCTTCCAAATGCGAACGAGTATTCTCAACTCTAGAGTGACGACCTGAAATCGTTTTAAAAAAAAATTAAAAAAAATAACTCAGTAAATTAAAAGTGGAACCTTAATTGTTACAAATTCTTTTTAAAAAATCAGCGGTAGCATAGAATCACACTTAAAAAACTCCTTACTGCTAATATCGCTCGTAGTGTTGATTGCATCGGTTGTATCAGTTGTCGTACTTTCAGTTGGAGTTGCATCTCCGGAAGTAGTGGATTCATCTAATACATTGTTACTACCTTCTTCAGCAGAACGGGTAGACTCTTCAAAGAACATAAAATCAGATTATAACTAAAAAGAGGAAAATGCATGTGACGATAAACCATTTGAAAACTACAAATACACCGTTGTTAAAAAAAAACAAATTTTTTACCCACTTACGTTTAGGTGTAGTATCAAAAAAACAAAACAAATACCTGTGTAGGCACGAAGAATACCCTTTAATGTTTGTGCTTCTCCCGATAAAGATATTGAATCTTCTCCATCGACTCTGTGTGGGCAATCAATATCTAAAGCACCAGGAGCGGAAGTGATGCTTGTGTGCCTAGCCATAGCTTCTACTGCTGCAGCAAGCGATTCTTCGCTGCGCCCATCAGACATTAGGTAAACTTGGACGACATCTTCTAAAGAAACACAAATAAACTAAAAGAATTCAAAGCATTTTAATTTTATACGCATATAATACAGTTTCAATTAAAAAACATCCTGTATACTCAGGAAGTAGTTCAATGTGAAAAGAGGAAGAATAAGGCACCTGGTGCAGCTCCAAGCACACCGCTTGATATGCTATCACCTGCCCCGTTAACAGACCCTTCTTGAGTTTCACTTGATGGGTCATTCCTGAATTCGGCAGATGTAGACGCTTGTGCGCGCTGCTGCCGCATGACCACCAAATCCGGGGCACTTACACTGAGACTAAAATTTAGAGTACTAATTAAACAATAGTAAAAAACAGCAGATTCGTATCCTAAGAATGAACACCCTAACATACTTTACTAGATTTTTTGCATTTGTCTCTTCAACTACGGAAGATATGACTGTGGTACTGAAAGGAGTATCGTTAGAAGGGCATTCTTCTTTTTTCGGCGTTAAAGATCCTTCGGTAACCGAAGAAGGTGTAGCTCGAGCATCACCTCCTCCTTCAGCATCGTGAAGCACCGGCTGTGAGCCGCCCACGGCAGGCCTAAACTTATGCCAATGAACCTACAGTTACTTATCTGGGTTTTAAAGTAGATCATTAGCTATGCTATCAATGTAGTACAATGACCCAGATCAAGAAAATATTTTCACAAAGCAAATTCTAGTTGCCGAAAATAAAAGTAATAAGACTCAAAATTCCAATAAGATTAAAAAATTAGCAAACTGTAATCTTTGGCAAAAACTGACAATAAAAATGAAACCCTAATCTAAAATCTCATCGATTAAGCATGACGTCTACATGAACGGATAAAGTCTTAATCAGTATTTCAAAAAATGCATGTAAAAATTTACTAGAGTCAGCTTTACAAAAATCAAGCTCTAAAAAACAGCAAGCAGCCATTAACGACAGATGACGGTTTTCAAAAATTTACCTCACAACATTTGTTTCAGAGGTTTCATCAATTTCAGCAAACAGACTCTGCGTGTCAATACTTTCAGCACTGCTGTCCAAATAACCAACATTTCCAGTAGAGACACTTTCAGAGTCAACATCTGAATTTATCGTTAACAATTCACAAACTGCTGAAGACGATATTAAAACTAAATAATAACAAAACTTCCAATTTTAAAACTACGTAAAGTTATTTTAAGTAATTAAACAAAAATGGCAAATTTTTTACCAGCTCCAGCAACTTCTGTTGTTGGACCTGAACCGTCATCATTTACAACTTCTGGTATCTTTTCATCATATATACGAGAACGAGCAAGAAGGTTTTCCAAAGACGGTGTTTGGTGTTGCAAAGACTCTGCACTTGCAGCTTGATTCGTTGATGCAACTGAAGGATGCTTTTCCGTTTTTGATTCCTGAATTAAGCAAGAAGAATAAGATTTTCCAAGAAACAATGGGAAAATTAATTCTCGAAAACAAATAAATCTTTTACATCAGATAAATTTGTCGTTGACATTGATTTCTGCGATATTGTTGATGATGCTGTAGCTTTATTTTTTGTCTCCCGAGAACCTGTAAACATAATCATCGTCTCAGCTAAAACTAAGTGCAAAGCTAATAGCGAAAAAAATTAACCAGTACTTGAAGCTTCTGACGAGTCAGCAGCCGAAGAAGAGTCTCTGTTTGGATCAACCACATTTGCAGCATATGTACGGGCATGACTTGCCTGCTGGTAAAACTTGGCAAATGGGAGAGAGTGTACAACACCACGACCGCCTTGACGATGAGCAATACTATTTTCAAAAGCAGTTCTAGGAGCTGGAGGCAACTGACGTCTGTTAATACAATCATTTTACAAGCCATAAAAACAAAAAAACCCTTTTTTTATTACGAATAAAAAACTAACGGAGATAGTGGCGTGAATGCAAAAGGTAGACTGATAGGAACATTTGAAAGGGAGTTGACTTCACGTCGATTACCCGCAAAACCACGAGTAACTCTTCGCAAAGGCTAAAAAAATTTACACGTCAAAAAAAAGAACAAAAATTAGCCAAAACTTTATAATCGCATCACTTACTGGGATAGGTACCACAGCAGCAGGATTAGAGCCACTGGACTTTACGGTTATATCAAATTTTCCATCGAAGCCATACCGATAGGAATTTGCAATACTACTATCCCACCGTACATCAACCCAGCCTTAAAATCAAGTGAATGATGACAAAGGAACCGTCTATTTCGCGCAGAAAATCCTCAGTGCCAAAATAAATTAATATCTACCATTTTCTACGTGTGAGATAACAGTCCCATCTGTGCCACCATCCTGAGCGCCCCACTTCCAGTCAGGACCACGCGTAACCCGACTCCCAACTGAACAGACTGCGTCAGCATCGGCAGACACTACGGGACTACTTTTTTCTGCAGGAGGATTTTCATGCCTTAAGCTACGACGATAGCGAAACATCCTGAAAACCCTAGAAATAAATAATAATTGTGATCTTTGGAATCATTCAGCAAACTGAAAAACAGAAATATAGCAAATCTAAAAAACTCAACTTAAAAATTCTACAAAAATTTCCCACTTACACTGTAAACAACATCAAAATTAAATACGAAAAAAATAACAAAACTCTTTCGAAATTAAACAAATAACAATTGCTGGTTGCTCTGCTGAATCAAAACAATTTCGATAAAAGTGTGCACTAATCTAAATAAAATTTACTTGGTTTTTAAAGTTGGCGACAAGACCTCAGGACCTAGAACACCGCAAGCTAGTTTATTATTGTTGGGACCACTTGGAAGATACGTTATCCCGAACTCTTTTACAACTGAATTGCCTTCCTTTTCATCTCCGGCAGGTGTAGTAGATGACGCCGTGGTACTAGAACCCTTGTTTTCTTTACTGCCATTAGAACACTTTTTTGATCGTCCTCGAACTCCAAAGACTTTTTCATCCAACGGTTTGAAATCATTTACCTAAACAGCAGAAAATTTTTAAAACCTTCGTCGTGCAATGATTCCAGTAAAAAAAATAATTTTCCACCCACCACAACATCCACAACAGGTCCATACACTTCGAACCCAGAGAGAGAGAGGTAGCAAGTCTGATCACTAGCATTCTTACCATTCTGCATTATTCGCAAAAAACGATATGGACCTAAAAAAAATAAATTTAAAAAGAAATCCGAATGCTGATCCAAATACCAAAGCTATATACTAAAAAACGAGTTTACCTAAAGTGTCTGCAAAACATGAGAAAATGTAGTAAGTGACGTTATAATACCACAGAAATATGCATTTTATTGAAAATTACCTTTTCCTTTCGGACAACTAATAGGCCAGCTAGCAGTAGAACCAACTTCATTGAGCGAAGTGTCATTTTCGTGACTTATCAAGGTATCCCATGAACGACCATTGCGAGAGCCCTACAGAAAGAGCACGTCCAATTTGACAATGTAACGAGATTATTTTACATAAAAGAATTACCTGAAGCAACCAATTGCGGAGAGCAGAACGACCATAACCACGAGCATGACGCAGTGAATACATAGTTGGAAACATATATATGCCAAGATCCATTGTAAAATGAGAATTTCTTAAAAAAAAAGCATATACGAAATAAATTTTAAAGAACGATACTTTATTCCAACTGCAAAAACTAAGGTTAAAATTAAACTGCACATCTCGAGCTACATACTCGAGAAAATATCTTGCGCATTAATATAAAAACTAAGGTTTAGAGACAAGCTACCTGTTGCAGTTTTCTAACTATATAAAAAGAGAAAATTTAAAGTTTATTCTGCAAAAAATTGTGTATCAGGTTCATAAACGCTTCAAAAATTATTAAAATTTTGAAACATACTTGTCGTCAGAAGTATGGCAATTTATCGCATTTACATCACGACTGAAAATGTCTTCTGGTTTACCATAAGGCTGGCGAGAACCATCAGAAGATGTCGCATGGATTACTTGAACACTTGCAGGATTCGTCCATTCGGATGAAGTCTTACCATTTGTTCCTAACCAATATATAACACCTGCAAGAACGGTGAAATTTTCTTAAAAACTAGCGATGTTCTTCTGAACGACTGTAAATAAAACGATTATATAAAATGGTCTCTTCAAAAGACTAAGACAACTTTGGCTCAGTCAAACTTTTCTTAATTTTGCATTTTCATCCATTCCATGTTTTTATAAGTAGATTTATTTCTCGCTAAAAAAAACGCACTATCAAATCACTAACACCTAAACGAAACATCTTGAGCTTGCATCGTCTTTCTTTCCTAACACTCAAACAAAAACGTTTTTCTTTCTAACTCGTTCCACATTCACTTAAAATAAGTGGCTGCCCAACCTCTTTAGAAAAACTTTCGCATATCTTCCGCCTTCTACAACTTTTCAAGAAAAACACCTTAGCAACCGCACTAGATAAAGTAACAACTCTTTACTAAATAAGTCTTTAGAAGTACAACAAGCAAAATCTTCAATTTTCTACTTAAAATTTTTCTAATCAAATCTCTGACTTTGGAAATAATTTCAAATATATATATATATATATATATATATATATATATATATAGTTTATATATATATATATATATATATATATATATATATATATTATATATATATATATATATATATATATATATATATATATAGGTGCTGTGCTTAAGAGTGCGTATTTTTGTTTGTGGTCGTCCCCAAAATCCTTACAACTTTTTGGTTTATCAAACAGCTTTTGGCATCAAGTCACAGTTAATAAAGATAGTTTTCGTACTTAATTTATCTCACCGTCCAGCTCAACGCATTTTCCCACGAGATTTTAACAATAATAAAATTAATAATTTTGATAATTTAATCACCTAACTTCAGAAAATGTATACCTTGTTCGTCAAAATCACTCGTGTAGACAAAATTAAGCTTATCACCAGATTTTTTCGCTTCCTTAATCTGTTTGACAAAATTAAACGTTTCTCGCCCACGATCGTACCATTGCTTCGAAACCATTTTCAAAATAAAATTTTTCAGCTGTCCAACGGTAGTCAGAGGCTCAGTTTTCATTAGACTACCAGTCCTAAAATGATGATGTACACTAATAACATATTACAATTTCAACCTAATTTCATCCCTATACAAATATGATGCCAAATAGCAGCTTCTGAAATGCGTTCCCCGCCTATATGACAAAAACACTGCTGCAATTTTCATATCACCCACTGACCTGTCAATAAATTGATTTTGATTGTTTGATTTCTGAAGAGGCTGGCTGAGTTCAAGCTTCAGCTTTATTTTTCTACAAAGCAACTGAAGGCCGTATGAGGAACCACCTGGTGTATCGTACAAGTATTGCGGAAATTTCTCAACTGCTTCCAGAATAAGAACAACTTTACGAACTAAGGCAGCAAGAGAACGAGAGTCAGAAAAATGCTGTAAAAAATAACTCTTCCAGTTTCAGAAACACAGAAGCTAAGCATATATGCAGTGCAACCTGTCGTTACCTCTAAAAACAATTCTGCGACAGAACAGTCCTTTTTATTCGAAACAATACAAAGTAGTGATAGTAGTGCGCCGACTAAACCGGAAATTGACAATTCGAAGGTTGACAAAAGGCTATCATTGACTACTGAATCCCGCAAATATTTCAATGACTTAGCTAGTTCCTTTCGCACCTCGTCAGATTCAAGTTCTCCGGTACCAGTTGAGTTGCAAATTGCCTTGAAAATTAAATGTACGATATACAGATCACTAAAATGACTCTCAGAAGAAACACACATGAAACAAGTTTTTCACAGCTTGTCCTAAACAGGGCATCCAAATAAGAAAGAGATAATATACCTGCATAGACGCCGCTGCTTTCTGAAGCTCTATTAAAGCGTCTCGTGGCTTGGCTTGAGCCTCCTTGATATAATTCTCCCACAAATTTTTAGCCATTTCCTGCAGTTTCGCTTTTCTAGCTTCTGTTCTGAAACGCAACCGCCGCCCATCGCCTCTTGCAGCCCACCCGGTTACGAAATCAAAACCTGGCAAAGAAGAATTGGCAATTTTGAATGACCCAATATAACTGACATTACTCACCGGTGAAAACAAAATATCAGACGATGAAATATGAGCGGAAATCTCTTAGAAAATTGTATCACATAACCAACCCAATGTAGACTCCGCTTGGAAGCAATGTTTTGTTTGTCGATTTGTTTCAAAAACAAAACCGGGCATATCTTCAGTAATTATCATGCGCTGTGGGTTACCCTCGCGATTTGCAATGCTGAGCTCGCCCGCTTTGGTAGATTTCAAAACCCATTTCCCGATTTTTATCTACAAACAAAACAGTTATTATTACATATTGTCCTTCAAAATTTCAAAGCAAAAGAAGAAAATGAGACACAAAAATGGAATGCACAGATATCCTACTGATTTTTCTTCATCCGGCTGAGAAAGCACAGATAGCAATGGACTTCCTAAGGGGACAGCACTTCGCGCTTTAGTCAGCTTATCTAGAAACTCCCCACGTTTTTCAGCACTATCAGCACCAGTTTCAGGACTACCACTGCTATACATAGTACTCAGTTGTCCATCCAAAAGAAATCGGAACCAACCATTGCTGGCATCACTAATAAAGAAGAAAACAGTTTTCAGAATTGCACCTATCATTTACTACAAACATTCTACAAGGGATTTCAAGACGAAGAACCTTAGTTCCATAGCTACTGCGTCACACCATATATAAAACGAGTCACTGGTCTTAATGATACGCCAGTCTTTCCATCGATAATGCTTTTCTCGTACTATCTCCCACACATCTTCGCTGGCAGAATTTTTGAATGCCGATGACACAACGCCACTTTTACGCCGTCTCTGAGCCCCTAAAAATGCATCAAATAATTTGCTGGACTTAACATCACTAAAAAGTTTAAAAAGCAAGATGTTAGTTTGAAGTTAGAAAAAAATAAATCCATTTTACAAAAAAAATATCAATAAGAATAACCTGTCCGAACGATTCCTATTTTCGCAGATCGTTTAACATTATCAGCATCAGTTTTCAATGTTGTTTCCATAGGTGTTTCAACTGTAGAAGGAGAAGTTCCCGAATCAGAAGATACAGCTGGCAAACTGGAATCTATTCCAGCCTAAAAAAAAATTTAACGCTGTTACATGAAAGACCGAACGACCCAAGCTTACCTGTGATAGGAGACTTGACATTTGATTTTTCTCAACCCCGCCTGACTCAATGCCAACACCACCCAATAGGTTTTTTTCTGTTTTGCATTCAACAGTAGCAGTGCTTGCAAACGACGACGATATCGAAGTACTCTCTTTTCCATCAGTACAAAGAAGTTTTTCTGCCTTGTCAGACGGCTGTACTTCTAAAAAAAACAATCTTTTTCGAAAAGAAACTGTAATTTTACAAAAAAACGACAACATGAGTTGACTCGTTTAACAAGCTTGCGATAAAGAAAGTTAATGTTATAAATTTCGCAAGCTTCAAAACAATATTTCTTAAGAAAGCAACCAGTGAGGTATTACTTCTTCACCAGCTTCTCCAGGGTAAGGTCGTAATTTACCACTTAATTTAACATAAAAATCAACTTCAAAAGGCCAACAAAAACTAATTTTAAAAGAATTTTGATAAACTTATCTCACAAAGAGGAATTCAATTGTTTTTAGTAGGAAAGTGATTTTCTAACCGTTCAAGTTATTTTTTCCTTCATCTTTTGAGTGAGTCGAGGAAACTTTTGCATCGGTTGCAGAAACTTTATGATCCATTTCTTTCCCATAAGTAGTTGATCCATTCGAGGCTACAGATGAATGAGCTTCAGTAGCAATCGCCTCAACTTTATTGAATACACCAACGCGCATAAGCTGTTCCAACCAGAATTTCACATCTTTTTCAAAAAGCGATCGCATGAGCTAAAACAGACCGGCCTTCTGAAGACTAGTAGCATTTTCGAAATAATATGAATAAATAAGAAACGACAAATCTTTGGCTACTGTAGCGAGTATAACAAAACTAGAGTAAAACCTGGCAAATTTTATTAAAAATTTACCAGCAACACATTTTCTTGTCCTTCAATATTATCTTCATGATCAAGCATTGTAACTATAACGTTCACGATACCCTCAGCAAGCTTCTGGCCAGATAAGAATAGGCTCACGCCTTCCGGACCAGAAGAAAAATTATTGCTCACAAGGAATTTAAGCGACTCAGGTGACATGTGGTGCACCGTCTTCCTTATCAGTGATACGCTTGACTTCAAAATAGTTGTACCCATTGTACGCTGAAACGATTTCATGTATAATTCATTAAGAGAGAAAGGGTTGTCAAAAATTATCATAGTAAAAACAGTAAGCCCTGAAATTAACGCAAATGACCTGAAACACATCACATAGTACAGGAAGCAACTGTTCTAGCAGGCTACGCACAATAATTGGATCAACAGGTATTTGCCTCGAATCGTCCTCTTTCTCTGACTCAATTTTATCTGAAAAAGGGAATAAAATCCTAACATATCCCGCTTTGGTAAACCTAAAATAGCAAAGGACGTAGATAACGGCTTCAAGAAATAATAACTATCAAAATATGTTCAACCTGTTTCATCTTTCTGCATGTATGAAGAAGGGCTTTCTAAAATTGCTGAAACTTGCTGATGACCCTCCTCAGTTCTCTCACGCGCTTTATCAAGAGCGGTTTTTCCCTCTTCATCACGTAATTCTGGATTCGCTCCGTTTTTAAGAAGGACTTTTACAATCTTAAATTGAATAATACCAACATTCTGTAGTACAAGATTACATCGCATACACATAAACACAGCTGACTTTGCGCACAACAAGGAAACTCCTCCTCAAAAATA